GGTGTGAGAATTGAGTAAATATTCATTTAAGTGAGAAAAATGTTTTCCTTTTGCATGAAACAACCTCTTTGAGTGTGTAACAACAGACTATCCCCATGGCTAAAAGAGCCATGAATGATTAAATTAGTCCAATTTAGAGATTTGCACAATGCACTGAATAATTTGCTAAACCATACTGGCTAGCTTTGTGCAGGACACTGAGCCATAAACCAGCCACCCATATTTTAGCTTAACATGTTGTGGGAACCCACAGCCCTAGTGCTTTCACATTTCACATAATACGACACATTTAACTTCGTAGCAGGCCCTATTGTAAGACCTCAATATACAACAATATAGTAAAGGCATAGGTTTACTGTGCATAGAAGGCTATCCCACTAACTTCAGCTACATTTTCCCTTGGGTAAGTATGCTTAGGTATGAAGCCTATTTCCAACTATTTCCCAACTTTGTAGTTTCCATGCCAAGATCTGGCCTTGAAAAAAAATGTAAAGATTTTCTGCTAATTTTGTCTTTTTATATTTTTTTTCCTCTCTCCCATGAATGGGACCAATCATCCTCTTCAATTTTACTCCTCTGAAAAACAGCACAGTAATTACATTGCTTTCTTTGGATCTAGCAAACCTTTAGTCTACCGTATTTGTTATGCTAAACCATACAGATCTTAATCCATATAGATATATTTTCTATGACTCAAAATGATTCCTCTCCTAAAGTTTTATAAATCCTGTGCCATACACATAATGACTGCTGTGCAAAGTATTATACATCTGTGGTGCACATGTCTTCTCCTGAGTGGTCAACTAACAGTGCTTTGCCTTTTTTAATACAACAGTTTCCTGTCATCTTAGATTCTATTTCTCTTGACTACCTTTGAACGTATTGCTGTGTGGACCAATATCATGTGTGAATTAAAAGGTAATGATAAAGTGGGGATGAGCTCTGAGAGTGGAGCAAGGGAGGAGGGAGTGAGCCTGGCTAGGCTCAACAATGGTTGCTTAACACCTAGAGAAGGGGCAAGACTCCCCTCGCCCACGTCTACCTCTACAGAAGATCGGAGTTACCTCCCATAAATGGTCTTCCATTTAATGTCTGCATGGAAGTTTTGGTATGCATTCTTCCAATCTTTCTGGTTTTGCTGTAAGGGTACCTCTTCACTTTGGCTTCTGGATTCTCTGGTTTGATTTGTTGCTATGTGACATGGATATACAAGGTTTCAATAAGGCCATTTGTGGGGTTTGAGTTTTCTACTTTTGTTTTGTAAATTATGATTTTTATGAAGGTGAAACCTCAGCTTAAAGTACCTTGATTTAATCAAGGGCTTCAGATTCAATAGATAAATATGCATTTGGATTTCACTCCCAGATTTCCAAAGTCTGTCCAGACAACAGTTGGGTCTGCACATTATACAAGTGCAATTTGTGTCAAGTTACATAATTACATCATTCAATGTAAATTGATGCAAATGACACAAATGATATTATTTGGGTAATTATGCAAATGACATGGCATACATTCAGATTCAGCAGACATTTCAGTATACAGACATCCCCTCCCGCAAAATGATCCATTAATTCAAATTTCACTGTATATAAATTACAGTGAATAAATTACACTGTAATAAATGGAAATTATACTATTCCAACTGGGGAAAAATTCATTCCACAGACTGTAGTTTACTACTGAACTAAGAACACTGGCATCATCCAATAGATAGCATTAAGAACCAGCTTCCAGCTTTCTATTAATTCTTCATTAGCACTGATTGATCTTAAACTTAACTTTTATGTCACATGCTTCAGGTAATATGTTTTTAAAAGCCTCGTTTCTCACTCTCTCATCTCTCTAGTAGATTAATTTGTTCCATTTGGTGCGTGTAGTCTCCATCTTTTTTGGAGAAAAAAGAAACTTCATTTTTTTCCCCAAATGGAATTAATTTCACATTGAAAAAGCTATCAGTGTGTTTCCACCAGATGAAGGCTTTAGGAAGACTTGACAAGCAGCCGTCCCAGCTACACAGAAAGGAAAATGCGGTATCTCTTTTATTATCACTTATGTGAGGGCTTCCTCAGATAATAGGCTTGCCCATGTTGGATTTCTGGCAGCAACATGGAACTGCTTGCTACTCCCTTTTTCTGCAATTTTGTTCAGTTTTTGAGACAGCTCACAGCTCTGGTGATCTTCCATCCTAACATTATATCTGACCCTGCTCAGCTTTTCAAGATCAGCCAATATTAGTTAGTGGCAGCCCCTTCCTGTGACAGTATTCATTTACTAACAGTCTACTATTAGTAGAATAAGAGTCTGGCAAAACTTCTCCAAAGAGCCAACCTGGTCTAGCAGTTAAGGCACCAGGCTAGACTCCGGGAGTCTTGCCTTGGGCACGAAGCCAGCCAGGTGGCCTTGGGCCAGTCTCTCTCAGCCCTAAGGAGGCGGCAATGATAAGCCACTTCTGAAATCTTGCCAAGAAAACTGCAGGGACTAATCCAGGCGGTCGCCAGGAGTCAAAAACAGGCTTTAAGGCACAAAGCCCACCCTCTCCGATATTCCTCCCTAGCAGTCTGGGGGAAAGTCCTTCCTCCTAGAATGTGCGGAACGAGCAAATCCCTAGAGGACCCTTGTTTTGTTGCTTAAATCTACAAGAATAGGAGATTCTTGACAAACGTGAACGGCAAGTTCAGGTGCTATCCTCCGTATTCTCTAAAACGGTCTGTGACAACGTGCAGACAAGAAGTTAAGCTAGAATACTTTGCTCAAATTGCATTTGGGAAAAAAAATGACACGGTAGGATAATGGGAGTGGGAAAGGAGTACTGCATGCAGTAGACAATCGGGAAGGCTAGTTAAATCCTAAGAGAAGCGAAGTCTTCCGGATTTATCTTATATTCACATCCTGCACTCCTAATTATGCCATTTTTGAACCCATCCGCCCACCCCCGCATGTTCTCCCCCAAACTGCGCCTGTAATAAACTCCGCTGCATTATATTAGGCTTACTCTCCCACGTGTCAAGCCACTACATAGGAGCAAGGCTGCAACTGCCGAGCCACAATAAAAGCGATTATAGCAAAACCGGGCTTCGCCTTCGAGTCAGCCTGTCCACAGCCACACATTTCTTTCCCTCAGCCTAGCGCCGGTGAAAGGCGATCCGGCGCTGCGGGGGCATGAGATACGCCGAGCCCTTCAAGGGCTGTGCGCTGTACCGGGAAGAAGGAGCCGATACAGACGGGAGCCAAACCCAACCGCGGGGCTGACGAGCGGCACCCAGGTCACCCATCCAAGCAGAGCGCCTCGGTCGCTAGTGCGCAAGCGCAAAGGATACCCCTCCGGCGCTCTAGAACCCTATGGGAAGCCCAACTGTTGATGGTTACCGAGGAAACGGCGTTGCTTAGTTACCCGTCGCAGCGGAGCCGTCGCTCGCCAAGCCCTTCGCCGCTCGGCCCACCATCATGAGCTCTCAGCCGGTGCAAGGCTTGCCGCTTCTTCCGGGCTCGACCTTTCGGGACCCGACGGTAAGGAAAATCTCCCTTTTTATTTCCACATCACATCTCCCAGGTCTTACCCCCGGAATAGCTAACGGTGCGGCCCGTTAGACCAGGGGTCGCGGCGGGAAGCGCCTCCCAGCGTCTCTCCCCTGAGTCCGATCGACGCCGTCCTCCATGAATGATCAGGGTGTAATATAATACACTTCATGAATGGTCCATCGGACCTGACTGCAGGTCATTAAAATGGGGCTTTACAATTTCTAAAACCGTTTGCAAGCCATTTTGTGGCCATCTGAATTTTTAAAGCTCAGACCTGGTAGCCCCATTGCTAGAAGAATTTTTCACGAAAGTTAACAGAGGACATGATCAAATTTTAAGTGAAAGGGCATTGAAGATCCTACTTCTTTTTCCTTCAACATAGCTTTATGAAAGTAGATTTTCAGCTCCTATCATCACTAATAATCAAATATAAAACTGGGCTGAGCAGTTCACTAAGATATTTTTAACCAATATCACTCCAGACATTGATGTAATATGTCATCTTACACAAACTAAAATATCTCATTAAGATTTATATCAATGTGTCAAATGTAAAAGTATTATTAAAAAATATTTTATTTCAATATTCCTTTTATTTTCATGACTATATTTAAAGATTAAAAAAAAATGTTTGGAACTTCATGGTCCTGAAGAGTTTAAGAAAGACTGTTCTAGAGGTTGTGAACTATTATTGTTAATATATTTTACTTACATATTTTTGAGAAATATGGAAAAATAAGAAAAGAGCAAAAAAGAGGCATAAAAACCCAAAACATGAAGTGAATACAGTGGGGCAAAAAAGTATTTAGTCAGCCACCAATTGTGCAAGTTCTCCCACTTAAAAAGATGAGAGAGGCCTGTAATTTTCATCATAGGTATACCTCAACTATGAGAGAC